TGATAAATTATTTATCTATTTTCGTTTAAATAAAAAGTCGAAAGTGTCAATTCTTTTATCAGCTAATTTTCTTTTAAGTGAAATTAAACATCAGGTGTCAAATATTAAAAAAACTGAAGAATTAATTAAAAAATGTAATTTAGAAGATAAATAATTCATCAAACCTAATGGGAAAACAGAGTTTTCAATTTTAAAACGTATAAAAATTTAAATGTGAAATAATAAATATAGTATTTAAAAATAACCGAATTGCCTAGTAGGATATGACGTTAATTTTTTTTAAAAAAAATAGAGATTTAAATTTTGATATTTATGAGTAGAGTAAAATTTGGTTGAAGGATTATTAATTATAGAATTTTATAAAATTTGATTTGAATTAATTAATTAATAAATAAGATAATAATAATTAATTAAAAGATTCTTTAAAGTAATAATTAATCGAAAGGTTAGTTTTATTTTAAAATAAAAACAAGGTTGTTTAGAAAAATACAAACAAGGAAACAATTTTTATAATTTTATTTTACTAAACATTTTTTTAAAAAATAATATATATTTAAAAGAGAAATCTTTGGATCACATTTAACTGAAAGAGAGCTTTGCTCCTTTAAGACCAGGAGAGAGTGTTAGTTTCCGCTCCTGATCCAGGGAGAGAGCCGGCGATGGTGGCTGTGGTGGTGGCTGGGAGGACTAACGGTTGGCTTTTTCGCTGGTTGTGGCGGTCGCACCGGTGTTAGAAATGACGTGGCCGTGTCAGGATTCCCGCTAATAAAAGAGAAAAAAGTTGGCACCTTTTTTTAATTATTATTTTTCATTCTGATCTGATCTTTGTTGTTGGTTCGTGGTGTTGATTGAACTGTGTGGGCCCCTAAGAGTGTGGGGAATGCATCTGAGCTGGTTCATTTCTGGGTTGATTTGAACCTTTTTGGCTTAGAGCTGGTTTCATCCTCCTTGTTTCTTCTCAGAATCTCTAGCTGAATTCAGCTTTTATGGTTCAGTGATTTAGGTAAAAAGAGATTCATTTTTGTACATTTTATGCCATTTATTGGTTGTTGATCTTTGGGGTTTGTTTCGTTTTTTGTTTTGGGTGTTAATTAATGAATTAAGTTGAAGTAATTTTAGTTTTTGGAGTTTGATTTGATATAAATTAGCTTGTGGTGGAACTGAGAGCCCGAGATTTGAATATTGGAAAAAATTTAATTTTTGCTGTTTCTCTTTAATGGGTGTGCTGTATATTTGTAGTTGAATATTGAGAGATTGGATTTGATATGCTTATAAAAGATGTCGTTCAAGCGTATTATGCGAGAATTAAAGGAAATGAAAGAGGGGATTGGGAGCATATCGAAGAGAGGAGGGTAAAGCAAGAGTTGGCGTAGTCGGACTAGATCCCATGTTGCTCCTGATCAAGCGCAGACCGAACCCGAATCTGTAGACCAAAGCCCTTGGTCGAACCTACCGCCTGAACTGCTCCTGGATATCATCCAGAGGGTTGAAGAGAGCCAGACAACTTGGCCTGCTCGAGCAGCAGTTGTGTTTTGTGCAGCAGTTTGTAGGTCTTGGAGGGAGATTACAAAGGAGATCGTTAAGAACCCTGAGCAATGTGGAAGGCTCACATTCCCCATTTCGTTGAAGCAGGTTGTACTTTTTCTGTATCGGACATTCGAATCCATCGAGAATGAACTGCTGGTTATTTCAATGTTAGTAAAATTTACTTGGGAAAGCCAAAATCTTTGCAAAGAACATAGTTCCCTTGCATTCTATATTTCTAATATGGGAATTTTCCATCCTCAAACAAATACTGGCTTGTAATCGAGTATATAATTTTAGTATTACGAACACATGCTTATATGATCAGTCTGATTTTTTGCAACTTGTGGCTGCTATATGCATTCAACAATAACTCTCATGTCTGTCTTCATAAATAATGGGAGTGGCTATTTATCATCGTATTCTTCCATGTAAAAGGTTGTCTATATATTCTATTGGTGTTTATGAACAGCCGGGTCCTCGTGAGTCACCGATTCGATGCTATATTAGAAGGGACAGAGCAACTTCTACATATCTTTTGTTCCATGGTCTGATGCCTTGTAAGTGAATGTCTGTTTTGATAGAAACATTATTTAACGTTACATTTCCATTTTTTCCTGTTCCAGTACCATATTTGTGTTCGGCTGAGGCTAGCGTTGACATAATCAGTGTTTATTAGCTTTGTAGTTATCATAAATTATTCTCATCATTTCAGCAAAATTATATAATATTCGGGGTAACACATTTTTGAAGCTTTCCATACTTTTTGAGAAGTAATCACTTATGTTGCTTCTTTGATCTACAGCCAAGGGAGAGAGGGATAAATTGTTGTTAGCAGCAAGGAAGTTCAGAAGGGCTACATGCACGGACTTCGTTGTATCTATGGTTGCTGATGAGTTTTCTAGGGCCAGCCATACGTATGTTGGTAAACTAAGGCAAGTCTGAGTTAGATTTCTCATCTTTGTCCGGTTATTTTCTTACTAATATCTATTATGACCATGAAATTTCTTTGCAGGTCTAATTTTTTCGGTACCAAGTTCACAATATATGACAGCCAATCTCCTTGTGATTGGATAATCCCGTCAACTACTCGATCGAGTCGAAGATCCTATTCAAAGCAAGCGCCTCCAAAACTATCTTCATCCAACTGTGGCATATGTACCATTACCTATGAGCTCAATGTTCTGCGAACACGGGGACCGAGGAGAATGCATTGTGTTTTGCACTCGATTCCTGTGTCTGCTATTCAGGAAGGAGGCACTGCCCCGACACCGGTAGCATTTGGCAAATCCTTTGAAGAACAACTTTCTTCCTTGACCAATTCAAAAGGGAAGGAACCAGTGGCAGACACCAGCTACAACTGAGTTAATTGCACCAAAAGGCCCCCAACTACAACTTAGATTCCAAATTGATCCATCAAGTTGGTAACATTCTAATTGAGACTTCACTACTATTGTTTCAATCAAGACTTTTCATAAGTCTAACCACCAGTTAGGCCTACATGTCAATTTATATCTGATGGAGAACATACCTAAAATATGTCAATTTTTTAAGTTCACTCCATATAAAATTATTTGTCAGTCTCTAGACCAATTAATCGGTGAAATGATTGTGCTTTGGGTAAATTATGTGTTTAGTATCTAAACTATTAGTTTTGGTTCATTTTAATACCTAAACTTTTGGGGGGTTTTTCAAAATCATACCTAACGTGTAATTTTTGTTTCATTTTAGTATTAGGCTTTAAAAACTTAACAACATTGTATTTTTATGCGAAATTACATCATCTATCACTCAACTATCTTCTCACTCCTATTCTGGTGCTAAAGTTTAAATTTTTTTAATTTAACTACTCACCTTTCAAATTGCCCTTATTTTAATCACTCTAATTTATTTTATTAATAATTTTTGTGACATGATATTATTATTATTATTTTTACTAATACTTAATTAAAAAACTAAAATTTAGAGTGATTGAATTAGGAGTAATTTGAAAGTTAAGTAATTAAATTAAAAAAATTAAACTTTAGTGATCAAAATAGGAGTGAGAAGATAATTGAATGATGAATGATGCAATTTACCCATAAAAAGGTGTCACGTGCAAATCACATTAAGTTTTTAACGGATTTAAATAAAAACTAAACGTTAAGTGTAGTTTTAATAAAAATTAAAAATTTATATACTAAAACGGATCGAAATTGATAATTTATGATCACCATGTAAGCCATGGCCCGAGTTGTGGCTCCAAAACAAGGTTTCTCAAACCTTGAAAACTACTAACCCTAGGCTTGAAACATTCGTAACCATGTAAAATGGGATCACGGTGCCTATTGATCACGTCAATATCACAGAAAGGGAGAAAAAAACTCGGCCAACTTCGATTGGCCCGGCTTTAATTATAGACGAACATAGAAGAATTTTATGGTGGGGTTTGAAGCAACCAATGGTACCATGATCAATGAGTCAAATGGAACAGTTAGGGGAGGAAAACTGAAAAGATCTGCATACTGTAAATTATAACACCATTTATTTGCAAACTAGTGAAAGAGGTTAAGCCAACGAGTGGGAAGAAATAATGGGTTATGGTTCAGATTCTAATATATGTCTTTTCAATGTGGTCCTTTGATCAACGTTTTTCATCGTTAACCAACAGCTCCATCAATTCCTACTGACGTGAATGTTTTCTCAAATCTGTTACAACTTATTGTGGCTATTGGTAGAGACGGAAAAATTCAGTTTCCAGTTACATGAGTAGTTGTTGAAGGGAAAGGAAAATTAAAGAATCATGGAGATAATTTTTGCAGAAATGTATGGTTGACTTAGAGCATCCTAATGGCGAATGACTTACACTAACGTTGGTTAATGACGAAATATGTTGGTCAAAAGATCACATTAGATTTTTTTTTTTGAGTTGGAAGATCACGTTGAAAGAAACAAATAGTACGGAAACTACATTAATTTATTTTAAAGCGTGGGGCTTTGCGCACCCTTCTACCAAAATAAATATTAGTTTCATTTAAAAAAGATTCAATATTAATTATTTCAACAGTTATAGACGGATAAAAAAATAATATAAGAGAGTAAATTATAAAATTTTAGGGGAAAAAAATAAAACGTCAGTAGAAAATATAAGAAAATAACTTCGTTATTTAAAAATTTAAATATTTCAGGGGACAATCGCTCCTCCCAATCCTCTCTCGGTCTATCTTTGATATATGTCCTATCATATCCTCCTTTAATAGGGAAAGACTCGGGAGACGTATTAGAAGATACACTAAATATAAATTCTTATAAAATTATTATGACCAAATTTTTTAATTGTTAGTTATTAAATTTATAAAAAAAAAATCATAATTTTATTACTATCTTTATAATAAATTGCATGTTATATGTCAAATAATTATCTTATATGTATTCCTACATGTTTTAGTAGAGAAGAAGTATGATCTGTGTGTTTCCAAGGTTTATAAGAACTGTGATATGTCATTAATTTTATCCAAAATGCTACATGAATCAAGAAGAATATTACCGATTTAATGATGTTGATTAAACAAACTTTATGTTCTAATCTATTAATTTCTTCATTCTCTATTTGTTTATGCACATTTCTAATCTAATTACATTTGTTTTCTCTTCATAGCTTGTTTACTGTTATGCATCGAAACTTTGAAAACCGGTCTCTTGACTCCCACGTCACCGCAAAATTGCTGCACTTCTGGTTCGTCTTGTTTCTGGATTCTCCAACCCAACTTATCGGCAAATTCCCTCATCTTATCCTTTTGATCTTCACTGAACTTTGTTCTAAACCTCTTCTTTGGTGGCTGTAAATGCGATGAATCTCGACCTCCGGCAAACACATTCAGATCTTCACTCGATGACTCCGCCCTGACGCCGCCATTTCCACCGCCAGAGTTCGTCGTTACGTGCGGTGCAACCCGAAAACGAGGAGTGGTACTGTTAGACAATCCGGGGGGACATCTTTGTCGACGAAGAGGTGTTGGTCTCCTCGTGTTGTTTTTGTAGTAGGGAAAAGCACCGCCGTCGGTTTCTTTTCTATGAAAATTCCTGTGGCATTCACAGGCTGCACATTTCAAGGCCTCCCCGGTGCCATCTTTCCCGCAGCCGTCGACGACATAGCAGCCCATGTTGGCCGCGTGGTTCTTCAAACATTCTCTATATCTGATCAAAGGACCATCTTCTGTTGGATGCTGCGGAACCGGAGCTGGTTGTTGGCCCGGATTGTCTATTCGATGCTGTGGGTTCGGTTCATTGTGGTGATCATCTAGGGTTCTTGGTTCAGTAATGAGTTTAGTATTATAAATAAAAGAGCTTAGAGTCCCCATTTCTTTTTCTCTCCCTCCCGGTTCCATTAAACCAATGATTTCTAATGGAAAAAAAAAGCCTAGAAATCTTGATCTCAAAGAACTTACCTTTGACAGATTAATCTTTTCAACCCTAATTCACCATAAAAAACAATAGTAAGCACGAGACTACATGTTCTACAAAGAACTTACCTTCGATGTAAAGCAGTTGCATGAGGAACAACCATATGAGAGAAAGCTTGGCTTTTTAGGCAAAAGCAAAACACTAATCTTTAGTCTTAAAAAACTAGGAGAAGAGATTAGCAGAAGGAATGATATATAAGAGAGTTTGTTTCCTACCCACCAATCGAATCCCATAAACCCATATAAACAAAGCAACAGATGTGTGGGTTGTTTTTGTACTCAAACAAAAACCCAGTGATCAGCATTAACGAGTGGTGCCACTGAAAGAGCTAGCTAGTACTCTTACAGAACAACCGACAAGGCCATGTTAGTTCCTCTCAGAACCTGCACAACCGGTCCAGCTCCTAATTATTGCATCCAATGAATAATCCAAAGCAAAATCTTTGATAATAGTATGTGTAAACACTAATATTTTCATTTTACTTAAATTTATTATTAAAATTATTATTATTATTATAAATATTATTATTATATTATATATATTATAATTATTACAAGCCCAGATCCCGGGAGCCCAAATACAAATCCCAGGCCCGAACATATGGCCCAAACCCACCAGAAACCCTAAAACCCAACTAGGGTTTCCATCTAAGCTTCTAGCCGCCTCCCCTTGTCAGCCGTTGGATCTAACATAGATCTAACGGTCCAGATGAACCCAGCAACAAACCCTAGGGTATCATCACCCTAGGGCCACGTGGTTGTCGCCGCGTCCAAGAGCATTCCAGCCGCTCCTCGTCGAAGGCTCCAGAAGACCCAGATGGCCACCCACGTTGCTGCTCTGGGGGTGAGTCACCACATAGTTCGGTGACTCACCGAAATCCGCTCTTGTGACCGATCCGAGACAAGCTCCGACGAGGCCTATAAAAACCACTGGTTCCCTGCAAACAAAAAAAAACAGGGAGAAGGGAGACAAAAAGAAAGAACAGAGAGCCACGGACGGGAAGGGAGAACCCACTACAAGCAGTGAACCAAAACAGAAAACAAAGAAAGAAGAAAGAAACTTACCCTTGGAGCCTTGACCATCGCCGGAGGCACTAAACATCGCCGGAGAACAGAAAATACTGAAGGTATTTTCATAGATCTACTCTGATTAGGGTTCTTTTAGGGGAAACTAAGGCCAGACTCGACCTTGGGGAAATTAGGGTTGTAGTTTAGTGGGAAAAAAAAAATTCGGCCACCGAAGGTGGTGGCCGACGACAGAGTTAACGGCGGCGCCGTCCTCCGGTTGGAGGAATCTAGAGAGTGGCGAGAGAGAAATCTCTCTCTCTCAGTTCTAGAGAGAGAGGAGAAATGAAGGAAATGAGAGGATGACCCAAAGGGCCAGCCATAATAGGGTATATATACCCTCTCTTAAACGACGTCGTTTAAGGGAGGGCCTCTGTGTAATTTCACATACGGCTAAACTATTCACATAGCCACTGTAACTTTAAAAACTTGCAATTTGATCCTTATAGCATGTTTTTATATATTATAATTCGATCTAGTAATTTTATTTTAGTCCTTTACATAATATAATATATATATATATAGGATAAATAACCGATTTAGTCCCTTATTATTTATTTAATATTTATTTTAATCTTGTATAATTATATTGGTTAAATTACATTGTTAATATTTATGTTTTATAATATTTCGAATTGGAGCTCTTAATTTTAATAATTGATATTTTAATCATTGATTAATAATTATATAGGTTAAATTATTATTATTAATTATATTTCAAGTTATGTTCATTAATTTAGATAATTTATATTTTAATACTATAGGATTTTTTTTCATTTATTTATTTATTTGCAATATTATTTTATTATTACTTTTAATATATATGTAAATTACTACTTTCATTATTATATTTATTATATAATATATATATATATATATATATATATATATATATTTTGGTTTAAATAATAATATTTATTTATTTTTAATATCAAAGAAAATGACAGTCTTAAAGCAATTAGATGTCCTATTCTGATATGTTAAAAATAAATAAATATCTTACTTATAAAAACCAGAAAACACATATTGTTTTATTTTATTAAAAAAAATTATTATTTTTAATATTTAAATATTAGGAAAGGGCAGTCTTAAAGCAACTGGATGTCCATTTTCTGATATTTTCAAATAAATATTTTACTTTTATCAATTATATATATTAATCTAATTTTTTATTATTTTTAGATAAATATTTTATCAATATTTATTTATTTTTTATATCGAATAAAAAAGCTGTCTTAAGGCACCTAGAAGTCATTTTTTGATATTTCTAAATAAATAAATATTTTTATAAATATATATAAATTAATATATTTTAATTCTTAAAATTCTATTATTAGAGACAATGTATAATTAAAAAGTACTAATTTTGGGCGTTGTAGGGGTGCTAATCCTTCCCTAAACGTAACCGACCACGAATCCCTTTATATTATTAAAAAAACGAATTTTTGGTTATAAACGCAGATCAATTCATCTTTTAACTGATGTTTTCTTAAAAACTCTTTTAAAAGATAATTTTTAGGTACTCGACCTACCTGACTCAAAATGTCGATGGCGACTCCCAAATTATTTTAAAAATTATTTATTCACATCACTTTCCCGTCAAGTAAAATTTCGTGCCCGAACGAAAATCGGTTACGACATTATGAGTTGGGTGTTAGCTTGTTTGCCTGGAATCTTCCTGCAGCCTCGAGAGCACAGGCACAAGGCAAAGAAAACTTTAGAATATTTAGAGAATCTCTTAAACAAAAGGAGTTTTAAGCTAAAGAAAAAAGATGATCATGGAAAGAAAGAGAGCAGGAGGACCCCCACCCCCAAACCACGGGCTTTTCTTGTGCGGGAATGCTGATCCATAGCTAATACTGCACTTTTCCTTTTAGTGTGTGTGCGTGTGTGTTAGATTCCCTATGACTATCTACTCATATCTCTACTTGAAGGCTTGGTTAAATTTATATTAAAATAATAATGAATATTGAGTTAATTGAATCAATCTATATTAACTTTCATCTTTTTTTTTCTGTTGATTTCATCGTTCAAATCATCATTTTTAATATGAAAATAAGGCGAAAAATATTGAATTTCTTGAACCACATGGGTATCCAAGCACTACATGAATGGAAAACGGTGAGATATGTCGTGAGGCAGGGGTCAACATACCACTCGACTTTGCAGAAGAGCAGGAGCACTAGTCTAGCTACCTTGTCTAAGTTTCCGAAAGCGTAAATTTGTAGGGCAGGCTTATCTTCCAAGCAATTTCGTATAAACGCAAACAAAGTGAAATGGAGCGGTCCATTTCATTAAGAGAAAATCGCCTCACTGACCAAAAATGTCTTATAATATACGATTTTAACCAACTTTTTTTGGATTTGCCAAAATGACCAACAAAATCGCAACGCGATCCCCAGAATCGCAAATCAGTTTCCAAAATCGCAACGCGATTCTTGACAATCGCAATGCGATAGTACAAATTCGCATTGCGATTTTCAAGAATCGCAACGCGAACACATAAATCGCAACGCGTATCCGTAAATCGCAACGTGTATCCGTAAATCGTAACGCGTATCCGTAAATCGCAATGCGTATCCGTATATCGCAACGCGTATCCGTAAATCGCAACGATAATCAGTAAATCGCAACGCGTATCCGTAAATCGCAACGCGATTTTTAAAGCGCCATTATAATCGCTACGCGTATTTTATTTTCAAATTACAAAAACGAATATTAAGACAAAATCCCGTAATCGCAACTCATAACCTAAAACCTAAAATCACAACTCAGTCACATCTCCATCTCTCACTCTCTACGGCGAAATCCGTCCCCATCTCCGAAGATTTCCATCCCCATCTCCGGCGAAATCTCTCACAACCATTCATGGTCAGAAATCCCTCACAATATTCAGAAATGAAAAATCAACCTCCGAGGGTTAGTTTTTTTAATTATTTTTATTTTGAAATTTTTGCATTATTGTAGGTTTTTTATATTGAAACTGATGATATGTTTACTGGTCATTTCAATAATAGATTAACCATTTCACTTAGATTTCATTTCGCGTTACGATTCTCTCGTTGCGATTTTCATTTCGCGTTGCTATTCTCTCGTTGCGATTTTCAAGTTAGTATTTGTCTTTGTCTTTGTTCTGTCTTTTGCTTCAACCTACTTTTTTTTTTGTTTTTCCTTTTAATAGAGATATAATTGAGAAACAAAAAATCAAACCAATCATAATACATGTTAGAAATAAAAATATCATATACTAGCACGAACCAAACGGCCTTCGTGATAAAGAAATTATTGATATTCTTTGAGATTTTGGGTTCGAGCACTATGAGTGTCAGGATGTGAATGTTTAATGCCAAATAGTAGAGAATTATTTATGAACAAATATTACATTATACTTACCCATATTAATAAAAAAAATCATATGCTAAAGTTAAGATATTTTCTATTCTTAATGTAATATTTCGTTTAATTATTTTATTTATCTAAATTGATCTATTCAATTATATATATATAAACTCATTAAACAATTTTACTATTAAAAGAATTTATTTTGTGTGATTTAGGTTCAAATAGTTGTGTCTGTATGGTGTAAATACACTATCAATAACTAAGAAAGATTATGAACATATATTATATTATAATTACCCCGACTATTCAAAATATATATATATATATAGTTATTGTATACATCCTATTGAAACACATTCTTTTATGTTGTATTCATATTTAATATATTGTGTGTATTAAGTTATCGTTGATTGAAAATCAAATTATCTCAGTGGTTAAATGAATGATTATTATTTCTAGAGGCCTCTTCGAGTACTATTGACTACATAATATGGGTGATTGAGCGTTCATTATTAAATGATCGAGAGTATTTAGAACAAATATTACTTTACAATGACCTATTATTTAATAAGAAAAGTTATCGTTTATGAATTTATTTAATAAATTGTAGAAGAGTATATTAATTTTATTATAACCATTTTACAGTTTTGTTGTTGAAAATAATTTTGTTAAAAATTATATTTGTATTGATACAATACAAATATAATTTAAAATATTTTTATTTTTTACCAACATTTATAAATATATTAAGAAATATATTTTTATCTTTTGTCCACCTTGAAAATATATGTTTATTGTTAAATAACCAAATTAATGAGATTATTACTCTTACAAATCACGTAATTAGTTTAAGATATTGTTAATTATTGAATATTATATTGTTTAACTAAAATAAATAAATGTAATAATTGAGTGCTTTATTGTGTTGTATAAATATTGTCTTAAGAGTAATTTTGCTTGAACAAAATAATCTCAAAATTTAGGTATTATCTTTAATATTAATATAATCTTCCAAGTTTTGTATACGAAGAATAAGAAAATAAAATCCTTAATAATGTTACTCTTTTCTCGCAATCAAAGAACGCGAGACTTTTGATGAACTAAACAAAATCGGTGGTAAAAGAATTATGGTAAAAGAATTATTGTAATTCTTTGAGGTTTTGGGTTTGAACATCAGGAATGTCAATAAACATTCAACGTCAAATAATTAAGAGTTATATTTAAACAGATATTGCATTATACTTATCACATATTAATAAAAAAGAATGTGAGGCTTTAACTAGAGTAAAAAAAGTAAAGAAAGGTGATCAAAATCTTTGTTCAAATCTAACGGGAGTTGGTTCGATTGATAAACAGCTTGATATCGCTTATAAAAGGTCTAAAGTTTGAGTCATTGTGTATTTAAAAAATCTCTGATGAAAGACTCATCGACCAAAACCAAGTGTGTGTGCAGGTCGGTCCAGATTAATCAAGACGAAGCCATCAATAAGAATTGAGTTTAAAACTAAAAATATACTATATATGTTAAAATTTCAATTAATTCAATTAAATAATCGATGTAGTTTGAGGACGTTCACAAATAACTTTACTTTTTTAGACCCTTGGTTTAATTCTCATGACTTTCGAAAATCAATAAAATGAACGTCCTATTAACAAAAGGATCAAAAAAGGATAATGCTGAATAAAGTTTAAGGACCAATTAAGAATGAGAATAATAGTTTGGGGACATCTTGTGTAATTATCTCTTTTGTTTTTTACATTATGGGGATACCTCTCTTAAAGGAACTTGAGGGAGCTCAGTTAGCTAATCTGTCATCTAGCTCCAATTCTGGAGATGTGCTTGTGAAAAAGTTAACAGAAGAACAGTCTATTAGACCATTAATTAAATTATAAATTAAATAAAAAAATAAGTTCGATCCGATAACTATGAATTTTAAATTTGTAAACCATAACTTGTTCGAACACTACGATTCGGATCGATTTTCGGTTCTTTTACTCGGTCCTAGTACCCAAATCAAAACAATGTTAAAGATGCAAAAGGAACTTTTTAAGTCCTAGTACCCGAATGTGCGTTGCCGATTTGGTGGTGTTTCTCATCAGTTCCCCAGAATTTAGCTGTTTTTACATCATCTTGAGCCATCAGTCGTGAGAACTCTTCATGGTCATACTTCAACGTCGCTTTCCCGCCAAATTCACCAGGAAGGTTCTCAACATCAAAGTATGATCGCATGAGCTCGACGCTGTCATTGTTTTTAGGGTAAACAAACTTCACCTTCTGAGCTGTTTTTGGATCCAGAAACAGCTTGACAGCCTGTGGAACATGTTTAAGAGCAAAGTATATCAGTCAAATGAAATATATAAATCTGAAACCAACTGTTCAAGTGAGTCTCTACGTTAATGGATCTACATTTTTCTTCAAATATCTGCATTTGACTACGTTACTCGAACTCGAGAGTTCATATCGGATAAGGATATGTCTTTGTGTCCGTGTCTGGACGTATAGAATGCTTAAATAATACAAGAAATCAAATGGAAAGGCGGGAGTACAAACCTTATAGAATGCTTCAAAAAACCTTGGTGGATTATACAAGAAAGCGATCGCCAGCCTCTCTGGGTAGTGACTTTGAAGAATGTAAATGATGTCCCGGGCTGTTCGGATGGGAACACTAGTGCTCAATGAAAACCCTGTGAAATCTATCAACCATGACATTTGATCTTGGCCCTCTGAGAGATTAAGGATGGCATTTTCTAAGAGATAGACCAAATGGCGGATATTATTTTCTGCTGATGTTGTGTTCTGCCAAGGAAATATAGGTGGAAAAATTAAGAGAGTAAGCTTTGGTGAACCAAAACGAACTGAATGAAACCCAGTGCATACCTGCATTCCAGGCCTCATTATAAGCACTGTTCTTCCTTGACGGTCATGGAAATTCGCCCGGGAAACTTTTCCGGTCTCACCTTCGAGTGCCACTTCATGCTGGAGAAGAACATGCAATGAGGCAAGTTTGTGAAACCAGAAATAAGAGGGTTTATCACCAAAAGATTGTATAAGATATAAACTCACAGTCGTATGCAAAACCAAGAATGAAACATGTGATCGGTGATCAGGTAGAAGGAGAGAGCAATTATCCCACTTCATAATCATCAAATCATAAATTTATATTGAGACAACAAAACTAATCTAAACAAGTTTCGACTAGAACTAAGCAACAAAGTAAGATAATCCAGACTCCAGAGTACTCAAGATACATGAAAATCTTGAAATACATACATACGTACATACATACATACATACGTACGTACATACGTACATACGTACATACGTACATACGTACATACGTATATACGTACATGCGTACATACATACATACGTACATACGTACATACGTACATACGTACATACGTGTACGTACGTATGTACGTATGCGTGTGTGTATCATACCATCAACTAAGATTGACTAACATATATATTTGTTACTATCATAAAGAGGTAGGGATTATAGAACATACCCAACGGATTTCATCAGGCTTATAAGTTGATCTCCATTTTAACGTCTCTTCCAACATTTTCTTTGCCTTATAAACATTCCAATTCCGAGCTTCTAAATATCTCCTGAGGCATGCATCGGTACAGTACATTGAACTGCGTCCAGAGAGGGGACCTATTGTAGTCCTGAGTTCACTGACCTGCATATCAACCAAGTATATAGAGTTTAATTACAACTGCAACCGAACAATTTAACACACTAATATTCTGTCTTGACACCAAAAAATCACAAATTAACAGCTACTATGTTCAAGCATCCGGCGTTCGTTAGAAACGAAATGCATGTTATGCGTATTAAGATATGTGTCAGATACGAGTGTATGCTTCCTACGATATGTGTCGAACACAAAAACTGCAAAAAAAACATGAATTAAATATATTCTAGAGATCAGGTCCATAAACTTTGAACAGAATCAATCAAAATTTTTCTACTTAAAGTTCATGTGTATATATGAATAAAAAAAAGTCACCTTCGCATCTCGTTGCTCGGAATCATCCTTCGGTGTATGCTTTCTACGAAGAAACATTTCTCTGCAAATTAAGTCAATCAAAAAGTTAATAACCACAACTTTACAGATTAACCGGAAAAAAATAAAATAAAACAACTGCTCTAATTTGATTATCAAAAACACAAACTTAACAGCTTCCATTAAGTCCGAATTTCCTTACCTAACGAGAGATTAATACACATTAGTCATCTTAAATGAAAAATTCGAAAAGCAACGCAGAGAAAAGAAATCATAAAAAGGCGATTAATACTCCAAGCATTCATTGATCAGAGGTCCAGAGCTCTTAAAGATCCATCAATCACAAAATCAGATCTATCTCCACGTTAACTTTCAAAAAGAGAGAGAGAGAGAGAGAAGAAACACATCATTTTCTTCAAATCTTATAAAACACAGAATTAAAAATAAATTGCTCCAAAAATAGAGATGAATCAGTCAATGCAGATAGATCTACTTCGCCACTCAACGACACTACAAGTATTGGCTAAAGAGAAATATTAAAATAAGAAGAAACAGAACCTGGTTAAGCACAAATCGGCTCAATATTGAAAGTATCAGGGGCAACGAGATTATCGAGAATTTCATTTATTAATGGTGGGGAAGTGTGAGGGAAACAGATCTTTGTTTTATTTTCATATCCTAGCGCACAAAGCGTGGGCCTTGTTTGTTCTTTTAAAGTATATTTTTCTTGTTAAGGCAATGAGTAATCACAAGTGACAAGGCATGGAAAACAATAATAAAATTACGATAACAGGGGGAAAATTGAAAATTAAAATATGATAAAAATATGATTAGAAGTTCTTTTTAGTTAAAAAATCAGCATAAATATAAGGGTAAATTGTACCGATAACCACCTAACTATTTAAGCCATTTGACTTTTACCATCATTCTTTTAATTTTATCACTCAGACCATCTAACTATTTAATTGTTGTCAATCAAGTCACCTGTCATTAACCGTTTACAGAAGTGCTGACGTGGCCGTTAAAATTTTGATATAATTATAGATTTAGTTCTTGTTACTTAGATATTTTATCATTGATCCTAATTTTAATTTAATTCAATAAATTTAATTTTCTAATCATATTGTGACATGTGTCAATCATTAATTAAAGAGTCATATTTATTTTAATTTATTATAATTTAATTAAATTTATTTTGCTCAAACCATAAAGTAACACATGTTGCCATATGATTGAAAGAAAATAAATATACATGAGTATGAGCAAGTGGAGAATAACATGGACTATTAGAAAATTAAACAATGCGTCCTGCCACTAAGTCAACAACTCTATTGATATATAATCATCAACATATGGTATATATTTGATCTAATAGTTTTTAAAACTTAATTTTGAATTTTGAATAACGAACCAACTTATTTTAATGGTTAAAGGAATCATTGTTGTTCTTAAATGTCACAGGTTTGAGCACAAGTAGCTGTAGCAGTGTGATTAAACATTTATTGTCAATAACATATATTATTTTGTAATTACCTTAGCTTAATAAAAAATAACTTTGAAAAATATATTTTACTTTTATCTTTATATATATATATATATATATATATATAATTCTTATTTTAAATTTAAGAATACACTTTATTTTTTTTATCTCAACTTAAAATTGTTATTCTATTATAATTATTTGTTCTTTGGTTTAATTAAATCTCACTGAGAGGTGACAATCGGATCATTCGGATTGTGTTCGGGTTAGGTAGTTTCAAATCGGGTAATTTCAGGTTAAGATTGTATTCGGTTCGGATTTAGTTCGGGTCAATGGAAATTCATTTTGGGTCGGGTATTGGGTCGGATCAAATCGGGTCAGTTGGTTTTTGGGTTGGGTCAAAATTGAATCAGTTGGTGTTTGAGTCAGGTTAATATCGAATCAGTTGGTTTCGAATCGGGTCAATATCGGATCGGTTGGTTTCGATTAGGTCAAACTTTAGATTTTCGAGTCAATTCGAGTTGGTTTTAGTTCAGATCAACCTTTAGATTTTCAAGTTAATTCGGGTTGTTTTTGTTTAGGTCAATCGTCTTCACTATTTGTTGTCTTAATCATCGATGTAGCTCTTTATAACTTTAATTCATAAAATTTATCTGACTACATATTGTCACATCTCAAATTCAGGTCTAAAAGTTTTAGTTTAAATAAATTAATTCAAATTAGAATATTTGGAAGTATAACAATAACTTTATAAATCATAATAAATTTTAAGATTGATTGTAGTATTAACCCTCTTTGTTATAACCAATTATCATTTATCATATTTAAAAAATACATGATATATATATATATATATATATATATATATATATATATATATATATACTTATTTCAATTTAATTATTTTTTTAAAAATTATAAGTGAGTTTGACATGCAAGAATAATTGAATGTCATTATTTGACTTGATTTGTATCTTTAGTCTTTAAATTAATTTTGAATGAGAACTTTTTATTTAACACATGTATTCAAAATTTATTTTATTTTAAAGTTAACTATAATCAATCGTTTGAATAATGTGAATTAAATATATCACATAAATTCAATGTTTTTGTTTGAATAATTTGATTTTATAATCTTCCCTATCAAAAATAATATTTTGGAATGATTTATAATTTATTGGATATAGAGATGGTCTTTTAACCGAATAAAAATTATATTGAACTACTAAACTATTACTAAATGTGGTGATGAACTAATTGTACAATATAAAATGAGAATAAAAAATATATCATTATACTATTTATCTAATTACTAAAAATATATAATAATAATAATATAATAAAAAATTAAATAAATTATTTGTTCACTTAGACTCAATTATTAGGTTAAAATCGAATCAAAGTTTGATTCCAATTGGGTATGGGTAAATTAAATTTTGGTTACTTTCGATTCAAGTTATTTTCAATCTAGGTTGATTTTCGGTTCGGGTTACTTTCGGTTCGGGTTGATTTAGGTTAAAATATAATTTGGGTCGGTTTTGATTCAATTCAGTTTATTTTGAGTTTAGAATCAATTTTGGGTTATAATATTCAAGTCTATATCGAATCTCGGTTCAAATAAATCGATTCAAGAAATCAAATACTTGTCAAATTTGCCATGTATAATCTCACTATCGTTTCGAGAATTTTCTTCATCCCGTCTTCTCTTCCTAGCTTATAGGTCTTCAACAACAATTATTTGTTATGAGAATTTAATACAATGACGTCAATTACAATATTGATTGACTTGGTAATTGAAAATTTAGCCAATAAATAAGGGTTTCAACCAGAGTTCATGGTTGAGTGATAAATTTTTAGAAATATACAAGATTGAAAAAAGAAACAAAAAGAAAAAGTTAGAATAAATTATACAAATGACCACCTAACTATGTATTTGGTCTCAAAATGCCCACTACTTTCAAATTTAAGTCAACATAACTACTGAATTACTTAAATGATTTTAATATAATAGCATGTCGTTAACCTTTAACAAAAATATTTACATGAAAATTAACAAAATTGATAAACTAAAGCATGAGTCCTTATAAAGTTCCATATTCACAACACTAACACCCTAATTTGTTTTCTTTCATTTTGGTCACTATTTTTTTATAATTTGTTTCCTTATGTTTTCATTTAATGCAATTTGTTCCTAATTATATTTTTAATTTGTCTAATGCCTTAATTTGAACATACTTTAAAATATTTTATTCTAATCAATTATAAAATTTATAGATTAAGTCACCTAAATTTTAAAAGTAGTCAATTTGATCACTAAAATTAACTTTAATCCTTAATTTTTAATTTAATAAAAACTTATATCAATTGGTCGCATTTTATGGGGTTATTGCGAGGTCGACAAGAAGTCCTATGGTTAGAATATAAATTTTCAAAATTTTGAGACTCTTCCTCATTTTTATGTTTTTAAATATTATTTTACAAGGTCGTACAAAGGTAAATACGACGAGATCTGGACGGATTCGAGCCGTCATCCTCCCAACCTCGGGGGATCGAGCACTCTACCATTTTGAGCTTACAGATCTTTCTTAAATAGTCACTAGCTAGGCCAATCTACCATTCCAAAACTCACTTCCAACATTCCAGCTATAACACAACCGGTAACACGATTATTGATTCAGCTTTACTTCCTTGGACCTTCAGAAACTAGAACTCAGGTTCAGATACAACTTCCCAACTGAAGGAAGAAATCAACTCGTTAATCTGATTACGGTAAGTCGATCATAAAAAATTCAGTTGTTGCAGAATCCCCACGTATTTCAAATTCGACATTTCTTCCAAATTAGAAGATACCAGATGTAACTTTAAAAGAATCAATATCATCAAAGAATATACCAGCTGAAACTTCCATACAAGGGAATACTGGAAACGTGTTTCTATCATACCTGCAGGCATAGTCTTTGATTTGATCGTAGATGAATGCAAATAAACAATAAATGCGACAGGAAAAATTAACGTGGAAACCCCATGAAAGGGGAAAAACCACGGTACCGAAGTACACTGAATATTTCACTATGCAAAAGGGGCCCGTTACACATCAACATATGTAACACCAGAATCATCAATCTTCAAAACTAAATCGAGCAGTGCACCAAGCAAAACCAGATGGGTTCAACTTACGCTGTAGGCTTCAATGCTTCAAGAACTAGAATATGGAGGAAATCTCTCAAACAGTAGACCAGCTGCGCGTCAGAATCTCCTCAGATGACAGTGCTTACTTTCCGATGTTAGTTAAAGATGAGGCAGTTTCCAAAACAACTCTCCGTTGATACATCTTTCGTCGATAAATTCAATGGCCAGTAAATGATCTTCAACCTTCAACCCAACGTTAAACAGAGACCCAAACAAGGGACCGTGCAACTACAAAAAGCAATACAAGTATTGCACATATGATACAAAGCAACTACATACTAAACTTAACTAAAGGTACAAAGTTCGATGAAACAATACTGACAATATAATGTCCATGTAAATTAACCATGGTAGAAACAAGAAAATTTAAAACAACTGAAAAATTACGGGCTGTTTCAGGAGATGGAGTCTAAATGGTGGAAAACTTCAATACTTGGGCCAAATTGGGGTCATCTGAAATTTAACAAAGGCTGCTTAAATGTGATTACTTCCAGTGTTAACACCATATAACCTTTTAAACGTGCAATTTATCCATTATTTAAGATGCAATAAGAATGGCATGTCCAGCTTCTCAATTTCCAAATCAAAACCAAAGAACAAATATATGCAAGAAACATAAGATTTAGCTTACCAATATGAAATAAATCTAAGAAACAATAATTTTGGTTTTTTTATCAAAATAGCTTTAGTTAGCTCACCAAACAAATTTTGTAAAAGTAGAGTATGATAATATCCGAAGATATTGATTTTCAAAAAAAAAGTCTTCGAGAAATAAATTACGGTAGAAAAACATTAAATAAATCAAACAATTCGAAAGCTTTATGAAAAGACATAATTGAAAGGCCAGTTCTATAAAATGTCAAAATTTAATAATATAAATTTAATTAGAGAAAAAAATAATCTCTACACGTACAAGCTCAAGCAAATTTGAAAGTTTAACAAAAAAAAGTTAATATTTAAACCAGATTTTGGTTTTTTTTAAATGATTTTATAGATTATATCCATGTTTGAATGACTCAAAAAAGCATACCAACCCAGTATGTTAATTGCATATAGTGAATAATATATATTAATCAACTTCATACCTTCATCAATATTAGTTTATTTTAAAGAAGATCAAATACCTTTGCTTTGAGATTTGTAAGTAGTTGACGGTTAATAGCTTGGAGAACATGAGCTAAATCCAAGTTGATGATGATGATAATGACGATTGGGGACCATTCGTCGATCCAGTATTACGCAGCGTATGCTAATTGAGTAAATAATAGGAAAGCGTAAAGGGTGAGAGAGTAAAGAGAGACGAGACACCACAGCAGAGGAGAGAACCCGGGCAACCCCGTGCGAACTCCCCTCCGAAACACCAAATAATAGATTTTTTTATTAAGTTCGGGTGACCTGCCATGCAAGCGCACCTGTCATGGCAAAGGCCTCGGATGACAAAGATAGATCAGGACCATTTCCCTTGATATCTTACACATCCTTTCAATCACAAACCAGCTTCCAATCCAAGATCTCTGTCATATAACATCACAGATGGTTGATTTATTCCTGCAACGCATCTCAAGATCGATAAAAGAAACCACGAGCGAGATCAAACGGATCACCATCGCTGTAATATTTCAAAAGATAAAAGGAATAAATAACGAATTTTTGAGATTAATTATCCAGAAAGATTAAAAAAACGAAATTACATACATATGAACAAAGATATCAACATACAGATGACAACTTCCTGCAAAGCTTCCGGATCTTTCCGTCGAAGACCTTTTTAGATATGCATCAGACGGCGTTAATCATATCATCGAAAATCTGATACCAAATCGTAGATCGTTACACCATTCGACCGGATCTATAGAAACAAAACTCGAATCAGGAATCATAGATAATAGATCTGAGATTTCGCACTAAGTAGACGGAAAGAAGGAATAGCAAATGAAAGAGAATATTATAACTTTAGAATGTATACTTCCCAGCAAAAACCTAAAATATATAGGGGAATTTTTAAGAACGGACGGTCAAGGTAAAAGAGGGTTTGGAATGATGAACGTTTGAGATTCGCCCACGTGGATAACGCCGTACGGATAGGAAGAGGATATGGCGCGGAAACGAAGGGTGAGGGGAATTCGGCAGAATCCGTCCAATACGTGTGCGCCACGTAAAGAGTCCATTTATTGTAAAATGCGTTATTATTACGCAAATCGGGGTTTGGTTTCTGATCGTAACCGTCCGTGTCTTTTTCTTTAATTTTGAAAATCTGAACCGTCCGTTTTCTGTCTGCGCTGTCCCTCGCTGAATGATAAATGCGATTGAAAACGACGCCGTCGGTTCTCTCGAAAGACACGTAAACAGCTGCATCGCATGCGTTTCCCAGGTGTTCGTCGCATATATCTTACATTTCACACGTATTACAGCAATATGAACTTTTTTTTAATAATTTAGATTAATTATCAGAAATTATTTATTCAAAATTTTATTTAGTTGTTGATAATATATATTATAAATATTATTATTTGAATTTAACTCATTCAAATATTTTTATATCGTTTAAGCAATATTTTATATTCGAGTTTTTTTGTACTTAAAAAATCATCATTGTGAGAAATTAATTGATCTTATTTTCATATGTAATAGAGTGAGGGGAGGTAAGGTATTAGGTTGCTCCCAACGCCAGGTTGAGAGTAGCTTCAGTGAAAGACCTCCGGTAATCAAAATTATGAATTGTCCATCGTAAGACTCGATCTCACGACCACAAGATTAATACATTGCGCTCTTAAGAAATGGAGGGTAAAAAAAATGAATGCCCACCACCATATACAACCAAAACTAAAATCTATAATTGAAAAAAATTGACAAATAGTTGGCTTCGAAGGCCTCAAACTTCAATACAATTAATTGCTTGCTCTCTGCTCCATCAGAAATAAGCTCAAAATAACAAATAAAAAAGAAACTCAAGAGATCTTGCAGAGGTTTTCAAATCCCATGTACTCTTCATCTTCCAGTTTTTCAACCATATCAGCAATGCCAACTCCACCTGCAAACATTCACCAAAATGTATGCTTCAGCTCGGCTTCCTATAAGGGTATATATATTTACCATTGAAGCAAAGGAAAGCATTGCATTACCTAAACTTATTGCACTTATAAAGATCGTCAAGGCTAATATGAAGATGATTATAGATGTCCGTCCGAAGACGGTGATGATTTTCCGGACTACATGCTGCCCGGTGATGGCTGCTATGGTGGCTACCAGAACAAAATAGGCGGCTGCAGGGTAAACGAGAAGTTAAAGCCACGACTATAAGGTTGATGAAGCCTATGTTCGATACCGAAATGCATCGAATACATAAAACATTTATATCAAGTCCGAGCACAAGTAATAGAAGATGATATTGCTAGGGATTGGTTCTAATGGTAGATTTTTTACTTGTTACTTACCATATGGGATAGGGAAACTATTGAGAAGATATTATTGTACGACCGACAGCGTCGATGAAAACGCCATGGAAAACGTCGATGTTGCATTTGCTACCTGGACAAATGGATAGTAACATTGTCAATACCGGCTGCATTTTATCTCTTTAGATGCAAAACTTGATCAGCACCTGGTAACACAGTCTGCAACGCATTTCCCCGTCTCGGGGATACAACTCGCCCCATGTAGACATATATTGAGCGCATACCGATTCCTCAAAGATCTACCATCTGCAGGCGTGTCTCTTTTGGTTCGAACTAAAGGTTTCTCCCACAAGGTCATGTGTGAGAGATTCCTTGTTCGAACCAAGAAGGCACCTTGCATGTCACAAATCTTTAGGAGACCAGTGAATGAACATGGAGAATGATACCTTTGACATATATGCAGCGACGATTATATTCCGATATGCTATTATTTGAACAGATCAATTAACTATACCTGAGGGGGAATTACAAGTTCAAGGAAAAGAGGACCCAAGATGAAGCCACCTCCAAGTCCAAGCAGACCACCAACCAGACCAGCAATTATGCCACAAGAACAGTAAAGAAGAATCTGATATATCTACCAATTTGTCACTTCTTTTCCTTTTGATGCAATCACCCTTCTCCCTTTGTATAAGCATATGGCTTCAAAGACTGTCACAGAGGCAGCAATAGGTATCTATAGGGGGGGAAAACAAATAAAATTGCAGAGATTTTAACCATAAGAAACTCGAAATTATCTGTTCCGCAAATATGGCCATTTCGAGTTTCTACCTGCAGGGAGTTCACAATCCAATACATGACTGAGCAAGTTTGAAGATATTCCTGCATAAACAAGCATGTGTGTCGCATTTAGCTAAGGAAAAAATTAAGGCACTATGGTTCTTGGGATGTTTTAGACAAATATTAGCATACCTTAATAATCTGAACGACGAGAAAACCAATCCACGCGTAAACGAGCAGCGATAACTCGTTCCAGTGTATGTTTTGTATCAGAGGAACCTGAATCGAATCATATGGAAATTATGATTTGGAAATGAAAAGTCTATTGCTGTAAGAAAACCTCAAATGTTCTTAAAACTCACATCATCATCATGACGTATGGCGTTTGGGCCACTAGGTAACATTTTATAATCTTGAACAGCTCCATCTGCAACTCTCAAGGACGTAAGCATACGCAGGTGCGAAATTATTGAAACCGGTCATTACATTAAGTTTCTTGCTTAACAAGGCACTCACCAGATAGTTTGAATTCCTCAGCTTCTAACCTTGCTGCTTCCTGATAATACAATCTCGAATTCCTCATCAACAGTCCATGCCATGGAAATACTTAAAAGATTAAACAAGTTGAAAATTCTACCTTCTTCATCACTGTCTCTTTCTTCCATGTATCTACACCTTTGATCAAGGCTTTAGTTGAAGTACCTGGCAATGGCACCGATATCAGAGGAGAAAAATGAAGAGTCGGAGCAACGTATTATTACCGATGAAGAGGATGATAAGCAGAAGTGTAACCATCCAATCTGCAAACAGGATATTGAGGGTAACTCCAATGCTGATCCCAAGCATAAGCATGGGCTGGAAGAGCAATGGCAAGTCATAATCTATGAGGGGCATTTCCAGTGTTGGGTGCCTCAGTCTCAGATTATAGTATACTGTTGACCCTGCTGCACCCATGATCATACCTGCAATCTCCGAATGAAAAGTTCGAGTTTTACGACGTTGAAAACTCGAACATCATGCCGTGATCGATATTTAACAACAACAACAAAAAACTCACACTTGGAAATGGCAGTGGAAGACTTGGGGTCCAAGCCAATGATAAGAGTGAGCATGGGGACGAAAATACCACCACAATGTTCTTTCTGCAATTCCCACATTGGCATTCATGACAAGAACTAGAAAGATTGCACATGCTGCCATTGTTATGCCTCTCGGTTCACATGAAATTGAGCCATTTTGGCTACTGCTTCAGAATTGTTCAAATGAAAAAAAATTCAGGAACTCGTGTTAAAAAATGATCCTTTTCTTACTGTTTTATTGGAAACTTCATGGCTGTTTCCAAGCTCATTATCGATCCGCAAGTTACAGTAAGAAATGGGTTTAGCCATTGATCTACGGCAAAAGCTTTATGAAGCTTCGTAGTTGCTTCAATCTTCAATCCAACTTTGGCTTCTTCTTTTAGTTGTTTTTATCCTAAAACACTTGCAAACAGAGTCCCCTCCAAGCATTTCCTTTTGCTGGGTTTTTTGGAACTTTCAGGTCCATAAAGAGAGCTTCAATGAGACATCAAGCTACCAGTTGCTCTCTTTAATTTTTATTTACGTATCGTGAGTTACTTGATATCAACTCGGTCAAAGCTCGATAAATACTTGGCTCGAGTGAATTTGACTCGAGCTCGACTCGAATTCTTAATTAACCGAAACGAATTACTTGATATTATACTCGAAGAGTTTATGAGCATATCGAAAATATAATATATAAAGATTTTATTTTTTAAAATAAATTATTAATAATATTAACATTTATATGTTGATTTAAAAAAAATACATTATGAGGTTTTTATGTATTTAAGGTTCAGGTTCGAGTATAAGTTTGAAGCTTCAATCGAGTTAAGTTTAAATGTTTTTTTCTTCATTTCGAGCTTTTACGAGTTCAGTTCATGGTTTCGAGTTCCAGTCAGACTTTTCAATTTGTTCACAATATGATCTTTGAAATATAATTTAAAATCGGGTAAAGTATATGAATGATCCATCGACTATAAGATATTGTCTTATTAAATCCCTCGACTATTAAAAGTTATCAAAAGATCTTACTACTATAGAGCGTTGTTTTGTTGAGTCCATCGACTATCAAAAGTTACAAAATAGTCACCCGACTAATCATTATACTCCAAACTCGTCCTTTTTCGTAAAAATTGACAGTATTTCGAGCTGAACGTTAATTTGTTGACTGTAACATGATAAAATTTAATCTCGAAATCTCAAACGACTATCACATTTCAGTCATCATGTTAACGTCCAGCTAAGACAATCATTAATTTTTTAACGAAAAAAAAACGAGTTTGAAATATAATAAATAGTCGAGTGATCATTTTATAAATTTTTATAATCGAGAGACTCAACAAAGTAACACTATATAGTCGAAAAATTATTTTGTAACTTTTAATAGTTGAATTACTTAATAAGACAGTATCCTATAGTCGAGGAATCATATGTGTACTTTAAAATTTTGTTTATATTCATATTTATATTTTAATAATCTAATAATTATATGATAAAAAAAATCATGTTTGTTCGAGTTTGGATCGAAATTTAACCAACTTAATAACGGCATTGCCATAGCTTAATTGTGGATACAAAGTACAAACCAGTACCCAATTTGCATAGAATACAACACGAAAAAGGCCAGATTTTGCATAAAACGCCGCTCTAAAAACACTAATTCAAACTCCTACTGAAACACCGGTATTACTAGTCGGCTGAATTTCCAGACTTGGGTTTCCATGCCGTGCGGTGTTCTTGCTGAAGAGCGTCTCGATCTCTTCCAGTGTCCTTCCCTTGGTTTCCGGCAGCAAAAAGTAGAAAAACCACCATGCCACGACTGATACACCGGCGAATATAAAGAAGGCACCTCCAATGGTAATGGCCTCGTATATCGAGATAAAGCTCATCGAAACTACGGCATTCATCAACCTATTGACTGCAACACCGATGCTGGCCCCTTGTGCCCTTAATTTGAGAGGAAATATTTCGGAACTATAAACCCATGTGATCGGACCAAGGCCGATGGAGAAGAAGGCTACGTACGTGTAGGTGAAGACGATGCTTAAACATAATGCCCAGAGTAGTTTTTCGTCTGGTTTGATCTCCACCATGGTTAAGGCAAAGCCTAAACCGGTCAAGGAAAGGATCATTCCTCCGGTGCTGGTTAATAGGAGTCGTCGTCTCCCGAATCTGTCGAGGAAAAGTGTGGCTATTAAGATGAAAAGTGTTTTTGTTAGGCCGACACCGACAGTGGCGAGTAAGAGCTTGCTCTTGGTGACGATTCCGGCTTTCTTGAAGATTCTTGGACTGTACAATACGACTGCTTCGATTCCCGTTGCGTGCTCAAAGAAATGGATTCCGATGGCGGCGATTAGGATCCGACGTACGCTCGGTGTCGGGTTTATTATAAGTTCTTTCCATACGCCTTGGCCGTGGTTGATGTTGGTTGGCTTGACGACGTCCGAGACGCAATTCGGATCGATCCCAGCCGCGAGTTTTATGTCGTGGAACCGAGACTCGGCTTCTTCCTCGGTGTTGGATATCAGTAATAAGATTGCCTTGGCGTCTTTTAATCGACCTTCCATGACTAACCATCTCGGTGACTCCGGCATTTTCAATATGCCGATGGCTAAGACTATCGAAGGGACGGCGGCGACGCCGAGCATCATCCGCCAGCCGAGTCTCAGAGTCAATTTCCCGAACAAGTAATTCGAAGTGTAGCCGAGTAAGATGCCGAAACTGATGCAAAGCTCCGGCAAAGATGTCAACAAACCTCGATTCGAAGGAGACGAAATCTCTGCCGAGTAAACCGGAGCGATCATGAGGGCGAAACCGACACCGAGTCCGGCAATGCATCGTCCGGTCATTAAGATAGCGTAATTCGGAGCATATCCCATCAAAACCGAACCGATCAAGAAAATCACCGACGCTAAAACGACCGTATAGCGCCGTCCAATGTAATCAGACGTTCTTCCCGCCGCTAAAGATCCAAACAGAGCGCATATATTTAGAATCCCGGCGAGGACTTCGACTTGGACGTCACTGATATTCAGATCCTCCTTTATGAAAATCATCGCTCCGCTCATAACTCCAGTATCTGTAAATATCAACGTTAATTATCCAGTAAAACCTAACACCAGCATGCATGTCAATAAGAACAAATGACACATCCGATTAACTTGAGGATAAGGGATTACCATAGCCAAAAATGATGGAGATGATAGAAGCAAGAATAGCACAAGAAAGAGCATATTTATTAAAGCTTGTCTTGTTTTCACCACACACCGCCGCCATTGAAGCCCAGCTCTGTTCTTTGTATAGTTTGTTTCTCAAGTGTTACTCATCTCCCAAAACCTTTCTTATATATATATATATATATATATATATGGATGACAAATATATTGTATATCATAATATTTTTAGTTTTATTTATTTGTTTTTACTTCTTAATTTCCTTAGTTGGGTGAAAATGTAGGATGTTCGAATGTTATTATTGGCTAAACTCTCGAGATAATGTTCTCGAACAAATTATTTCACGAGATAATGCTCTCCCAAGATTAATTGCTCAAATAGGGTGAAATCCACAGTGTTGACCGTAGGTCGCCATGTCTTCCGGACGACCTACTACGTGGCCAGCCATGCACGTTCCCCAAGCATAGGTCGCCATGCCCTCCGGGCGACTTTGAAGGTCGCCATGCACTCCGGGTGACCTTGTAGGTCGCCGTGCACTCCCTCCTGCTCCTCGCGTAATTCCTCTTGCCCTCGGATGCCCTCGCATAGCTCGCTCAGATGGCCTCGGATGCTCTCGCATAGCTCGCTCGGATGACCTCGGATGCCTAGCGTGTTGGAACGTGCATGGCACATGCAATCTCTCTCATAGCTCACCGGGAAGACATGGTGACCTAGTAGGTCGCCCGGATGGCATGACGACCTACGACCAACTGTAGATTTCACCCTATTTAAACAATTAATCTGGAGAGTGTATTATCTCATGAATTAATTTATTCGAGAACATTATTTTGCCGTCATTATTCGATGGGTTTACACTTTCTTAAGCTGCTCTTGTAATTTCCTTATTTTTTTTATTACGGATAAGAATGCCAAGCTATTCTATCTAAATGTCTTTCTGACTATAAAATAATATATTATATATTATTAAAAAATAAATATAAGAATATTAGTTAAATATCTTCGGCGAATAGATTTTTTATTGTTTCTTTTGTCGATATAAATCTAACAATATTTATTAAACGTATTTTTCATTTAATATTTTGGTTAAAATACACAAATGGTCTCCTAACTATAGAGTATTGATTTATTAAGTCCTTATAATGTTAAAAGTTACAAAATGACCCTCCAACTATAGAGTGTTGCTTTGTTGAGTCCTTCGACTATTAAACATTATAAAATGATCACTCAACTATTCATTATGTTCCAAATTTTTCCTTTTTCGTTAGAAAATGATAGTATTCTGAGCTGAACGTTAACATGCTGAGTTTGATATGACCCCAAAATCTCAAATGGATATCATATATATCCCAATCATCATGTTAACGTCAAGCTTAGACAATCGCCATTTTTTTAAAGGAAAATGACGAGTTTGTAACCTAATTAATAGTCGAGTGACCATTTTGTAATTGTTAATAGTCAAGTGACTTAATCAAATAATATCCTATATTGAAGGATTGTTTGTGTATTTTACCCTAATATTTTTAATTTCTAAATGATAGAATCAAAACATAACCAATAACATAATTGGTATAAAAATCAAACCTAAGATTTGTCATGTTAAATCATCAAAAATAGAATAATAAATGTGGAAACGACTTTAACCGTTGATGGAGATTATCTTAAAGGTTTTGATCTTCTTAAAAGATAAGTCTTCTATTGTTTTAAAATTCTATGAAGAGATTAAAAAAATACAAGTGTTGACCTAATTCTTAAAGACGGATATTTTAATACTAAAAAAATTAAAATGAAAAAATAAGGGTAAATTGTGCATTTAGTATTTAAACTAATAGTTTTGGTCTGTTTTACTTGAACTTTTATTTTTTTTAAATCATACCTATTATTTAGTTTTTTTTTCATTTTAGTACCCTAATGCTAAACACTTAACGCATTTAGTATCTAAACTATCAGTTTTGGCCCGTTTTATTAACTAAACTTTCAACTTTTTTCAAAACTTAATGTTAAATTTTGAACATGGGTATTAAAATAAAACAAAAACTGAACTTTAGGTATTATTTTGAAAAGATTGAAAGTTTAGATACTCAAATAGACCAAACTTAACAGTTTAAGTACTAAACAAGTAATTTACCCAATAATAATACCAGCTCTCGTGTAATGCAGAAGACAAAAGACGGATAGTTGAGGTTAGGCCAAATCTAAAAGTAAATAGCAAGCTGTGTTGTCTTAAGAGTGGCAACTTGGTTCCACAACAAAAGACCATAAGTTAGATTTTACAACTTTACATCATATAATATAATTAAGGACAACACACCCAAAATATCTATTTGTATGTTCCGTCAAAAGTTGAAATACCAGCCTCCATGATCCGAGCAATGTAGGCCACATCCACAAATTTGGGGTCTTTTCGTGGTCAAATTAGTGTACTAAGAAGGCAGGTAAAGACCTAAACTTATCCTGAAAAGACATGCATGGTAAACAGGATGGACCAAAGCACTAGCAGATATAGAAATACATTTTAGGATAAGCACACGTATTCATAATATAAAATCTTTAAATAAGGTGCATATAGATAAAATTTTAAAGTAGATATCGTTAATAAAATGAGTAATTAATAAAAAAAATTACATTTTAAGGTGGGTACGAAAAAATTCGGGGTGAGCACTGTCAATAAATAAATAATTAATCGAAGAAAATTTGAATTTTAAGGTGGACACGTGTCCACTCTCACCAAACCGTGACTCCACCATTAGACCTAGGAGTGTTGGGATACAGTCGTACCCCTTAAATTTTTAATTTTTTTTATATTTTAGATGTTTTTCTCTGTGTTCTAATTATTTAATTTTATGCCTTTAAAATTTCATAACTTTTTTATCTCCAAAAATTTTAATATAATTTTTCAAATCCCTACCATCTTACACAAATTTATGCATCCCGACGATAAACATGTACCTTTTCAACTTTATAGCACGGGCAAGATTTAGCGTATATTTTTGCCTTCAAAACGGGATTTGCAGTCACAATCTTTGATGATCTTGGGAATATTCCGTAGCATAAAAATGAGTACCAACTCTATGACAAACCTGTAAATTGTGTTTCTTTTTATTTTTCACTCAAAGAAACCACGGCATACATTTCGTGTCATTGCGAGGCGCCGCTCTTATTTGTCTAGATGCAATCCAAACGGGTTCAAGTACTTGAAGAGCATATCTATCGAAACAAATGCGATTACCTTAATGAAATATTCTTTTCGTTCTTCCTCTATATTGTTTACGAAATCTGGTTCTTTTTTTGTTATAGTTGGTGGTTGTTTATGAATTCCACCTCTACTACGTAACTAGACACGAGAGTTTCTTCTCATTAAGCTCATCGCAAAAAAAATGACTAAAAAAATATTTTTATTTTAAGATATATAGGTAGTTAATGAATAATAGATTGAATTTTGGGATTCTTTGCTTTAAGATTTTATCTGATCTATTAGAAATTTTTATGTTTTGTTTGTATATATATTGGATATATAAGGAATTAAATGTGGATTCTATTTCTAGATAATGTCTTATCTTGGTTTTGTTATAATGTTATAACGAATTTTTGTTTTGTTTTTTTTATCATATTTATATTAGATTCAGATCGACAAAAATTTAACAATCAAATAAAATGAAAATAAAATTTTCGCGGGCAAATATTTACTCTTTCAATATCTAGTTCAGTTGGCAGGCGAATATTTACTCTTTCAATATCTAGTTCAATTGTTGGGCAATTATGCTAGCCAAATCGCACTAATGCAATTCATTCGCCCAAGTCTGCTCGAACTCTTTGGAGTTCGGCGAATGTTCCGATATCTACTTTTGGAAAAATCTTCGCCATCATGTCGATGATGTCCGTCGAATCCTTCAAAGCAAGACCCTCCCGGTTCAAACATTCTATTAGAATGTTTTGGAATTGCGTACGAAGAAAAGGACTTTAAAAACTTTAGAATCGGATGCGTTCGCCCAGGGAGAAAGGCCTTGCCCCTGCCAACCAAGTCAAAATAAAAAAGAGAACGAAAGGAGAATAGAACTTTATGTTTTGGTAATTCTCTAGGAGTCATGTTTAACCTTGAATGGTATTAATAAATTCTACAGCAATAGTCCCTCGGACTCGGAAAGTAATAACGAAAATGGCTAACCCAATAACGGATTCCGCAGCTGCCACCGTTGGAACCAATGAAGCTGAGAGCGTGGATCATTCACTGTAGATATTTATTGGTCGTCCGAACCCGATAATGGATGTTTATTCGATAGGCTGGCTCTCTTGCTAACAGTGCGCTGAACACGAACTACAAGTCGACCCCAGATGGAATGTACATGTTCGCTAGGCCCCGGATTGAATGTATCCTCTAATTTTTTTCTTTACCCGGGTGAAGTCCTCAAGTCGAGATACAGTTAGTGTTCCGTGAGTGGTCAAGCTCGACTATCAGTTTAGGAATGCGTTCAGAGCGTGGATGATCTATTGATGTCGTCTGAAAGCTTGGCGAGATTAGGTTCGTTGGTTTGATATAAGATTGATGTAAAATACATTTGTTCAGGGGAAAAACATTAATTCAAAGCCAGGCAACGCAAATGTTGATAAAGACAAGGCAGGGGTTCGTAGAATAGGAGGAGGGGTTTTCCACTTCCAGGCTCTTTGAGACCTGGTTTGATAAAGCCAGGATCTGATAGATTCTAAAAGACCTCGACCGACAGGGAGAGGAAAGGTAGGATCGACTCGACGGAAGAAAGAAATGAGAAGAAAGCTCAAGCCAGACCGTAGAAAGCTTCTGGCGAAATGGATACTTCAAGGATAGGACTGTTTCCCATAGGCTGTTTCGACAGGGATCTGGAGAATACGAATATTTATTCATTATAAGTGAGATCAGCAAGCTAAAGCGAGAAGAAAGCTCAAGATGATTGAAGTGAAGGAATATGTGTTCTAAGCCTTTACCTTAGGCCAGGATCCCAAGGGGTCGAAAATCGATTAGATTCTTTTCGTGGTCCGCCCGAGCAAGTAACGGAATGAGTTAACCCTACGAGGAAAGGTTATGGCTCCAGTTCGTCGCCATGGATCAATGCATGAATGAAATGTGGGCGAAAGGCCAAAGTCAAAGATTAGGTGAGCGCTCAGTTCGAGTGTTAACTGAATTTAAGCCGCCACTACACAACGGTTTGAAAGCGAGAGTAATGCAATAACGAGCGTTGGCTAGAGGTTACAAGGTATTTCGACCAGAGGGAGAGGATTCATTAAGTGGGCAGTGAAAGGAATGTGGCCAAAGGGTATTGAAACTCAAAAACCAACGAGGAACTGAAAGAGTCGACCGAAGGAAGAGGTACTTTAAGTTACTCGACCAACGAGAGAGGAATGCGAAATTGGAATCGTACATCGAACCTAATTATGAATATCTATTCTAATAATTCTATCAATAAAATCAGTGATATAATGATAAAAATATTTATTAAAGTAAAATTTCTATTATCATTATATTCTAAATTTAATATCGAATAGAAAAACAAAAATCTCTAATAATTATCGTTGCTTCTCGGAGTAGACGTATACCCGAAGCGAAGGTTTATGGGC